CCGTCTCGACTAATAGAATTCTCGACAAAAAACCTTACAATAAATACAGTTAGGTCTAAGATGTAGTCACGGGTACCGATATTTTTCAAATAAGTATAAATACAATAATGATTTATTATATATTTTTAAGCTTGTCGAATGAAGATGAACGTTTACAAAAGCAGTAAATAACTAAAAACTAATTAACACATTTATGAGTAATAAAATTAGTCGATAATTGGAAACATATAGGTGTGTGAAGCAATTAAGAGAGTTAATGTTTGTTTTTATTGATGCTTGCTTATTTTTAGAAAATAAACTCTGGATATTTACTAAAGAAAATTTCATCATATGGTAATTTTCGACAGTGAACTGTTTTCTACAAATTATTTTATTTTTGTCATAATTTATTATAATATACCTTTTACATATTATTGTATTATTTAATCATGGAGTGAATTCTACGGATAAATAAGATTTAAAAGTTAAATAATTACCAATATAATAAAAAATATATTTCATTTTCGTCATATAACTAAAACCTTGAATGCTAGGTATGCTAGGCTTTTAAAATGTTCTTAAGTTTTCAGTCTTTACAAAAACGGTGTTGACTTCAATGTTTTACACTTTTCACAAAATTACTGTAAACCGATAAAGTCTTTGGGTCATTTTTAGTAATAAAAATAAAGTATTAATTTAATATGAATTTTTATGTTTAATAAATCATAATGGTAATAAATGATACACGGTGGTCTGCGGCAGCATATTCTACAGATAAAAATAAGTAAAAATGTCCGAATAAATGTATGTCCTAAAATGCTTCGTTTCAGAGATACAGGGTGTAGAAAATTTATTTTTATTTAGTTTTTTTCAAATAACTTCTGAATTAACGTCGACATTTGGATGAAAATAGGTGTTTGGGTGTTTTTTGACATGATTTGATTTCGATGTCAAGATGACTCCTACGTGTAGGGGGCGCTATCTACATGCTTTTTAACTGCTTTGAAGTGTAATAACATTTCGTCCGCACTTGTATAAAACTAGTAAGTGAAGAATTATACATTTCTGTAATTTTTCACGTGAAAAATGTATTTTAGTACGCTACGAGCAACCGTTTTCAAGATATTTGGAATGGAAATAGTCAATACTGACAAAAAAATAAATATGTTGACTAGATAGTTATTTGAGTGAAATAACAAATTTGGGACTGTGAATCATGAATTGAAAAAATACGATACAGTTTCTGTCGAATCTTTGACACAAAACATTTCAAGTTTATTATTTCAGACTAATAACTAACCAGTCAACATGTATAATTTTTTTCAATTATGACATGTATTGATTATTTCGATTCCAAATACCTTCAGAACCATTACTCGTAGCGATTTTTACCAAGAGGCTATTTTTACGTAAAAATGACGGAAATGTATATTTTTTCACTCAGTAGTGTAATACAAGTACGGACGAAAAATTATTACTCTACACAGCTAAAAAATATGTAGGTACTTAAATTTATCATACCAAAAAACACCCAGACACCAATTTTCATCCAAATGTCGACGTTAGTTCAGAAATTATTTGGAAAAACATCGAAATAAAATTTAAACTTCTACACCTTGCATCCCCGAAACGAAGTATTTTAGGGCATACATTTATACGAACTTTTTTACCTTATTTTAACTTACAGAATATAATGCCGAACTTTTCCGAATACAATTCGGACCACCCTGTATATATGTTCATACATGTCACTTACAAAGTAGTACCTTATAATAGCATTAGTTTTTTATATAACATAGCCCTTTAGCGTATCATGCTTCATAAGCACGGTATACCAAATACATAATACATATAAAATTAAATGAAATAAAATATCTTTTTTGGCGACTGGTATTGCCTTTAATTTTTAAATTTTACACAACGTCTCGGTTAGAAATATCACTAGCTGACACCTTGTGTAGAGTTTCAAACTTAAAGCCAATGCAAATTCAAGAAAATATGTTATTTCATAGTTTACACCATCCATTTTCTACTAAATTCAAATACATACTGACGTGCATGAAAAACGGGCACCTTTAATTTTCATGTATTTTAAAGATCAATAGATCTTATTCTAGTGGGTCGATTTTGATGATTTTTTTAGCAATTTGGAGCGAAATTAATTGGCATATTAGTCTCTTTTTAAATTACAAATTATAGTCGCTCTCGCTATTATATTGTTTTTCCCACTACGGCATTTCGTAGTCACGAAAAAAAGGCGTATTATTGTTTATGTGATGCTTGCGCAAGAGATTTTAAATCCCGTAGTTGATCTTTACCATGTCCAATTAAAGCGACAATAGTGAATACAACTTCTGGACTTAAAACCATCTCTGCTTGAGGAACTCCCAACGAACAATTATAATATAGAACTTTAGAAAAAGAATAAACACTATTTCATATGTGTGTTGATGAGGACCAAACACAAAGGCATGCTTTTAGTGCTAAACTAGAAAGTATATAAACACCCTAACCTAACGATCGAGGAAAGATATACTTTGATGTAAAAGTAGATTTTAAAGATTTTACTTTATTATTCCACAGGGTATTTCTAACTTTCATCAAATTAACATTTTATTTTCTCCCTACAATAAGGCAGATTGGAATTTTTTAATTATAGAAGAGGTTAAAAAGTCATTTAGCCACATACTGCTTAAAACAATATCAAAATTGGCCTACAAGAATAAAATATATAGTATATAAAAATATAGCTATTGCAGTTCATGGAAAGAATTGCAACCTAATGGGCGAATTCGTGACAAGTTTGATTTGATTTATGCCGGGACCCCATTATGCCACACGCCGCGCTACGCTACGCTATGCCACTTCACGTCATGAAGATCTGTATATGTTTTCCGATTTAATTACATGTGTTGCGCACACACTAGAGCTCACGCAACCCCACGCCACGCCATTCCACGCTATCACATGTGTGATGGGCGATTCGTCTGTCTCAGATCTCATAATATGTACACTCTCTCCCACGTCGCAACACGTGGGCTCACGTGGGATAGCGTGGCGTGTGGTCTAATGGGTTATTCCCTTAAGTCTCAAGTGCTGTAAGGTGTAGCCGCCACTCGTTCTGCGGCCAACGCATAAAACACTTCTTTTTCTAATTCGGCCAGCGAAGGCATTTCGAAGCCGGTTTGAAGCTGAAAGCGACAGTGTTGCATATTAAAATGTGTAATATCTGTAATAAGTTTGACGAAAAAATCCGCGTTTATGTATTGAAAATTTATTCGTGTTAAACATGTTGTGAATAAACAAAGTACTGAATATTTCGTATGAAAAGATTATTGACATTTACCATAATATTTTACATTTGAAATAACAGCGATCTTCATTTCCAAGTCAACTTTGACGCTGTTCTTTGTTTAATCATATAATATTATATTAAGTTGTTTAACGATAGAAAATCCGTAGTATTAATGTACTGTACCCAAAATCGAAATCTACGGATTAATTCGTAGTTATTACAACACCATCTCCGGCAACCTCCCACTCTGATGACTGAAAGCAGAACTACGGTGCAGTATTATTCTTTATCCGCTGCGCTGTAAACGATTATCAACGCGCAGCGGCGCAGAGCTGACGGTAACGCCACGAAATCGCCCATAAGGTTGCGCATCTTCTTATTTCTTCAGTCAACGCTATTGCTATGTTTTTAGAACATGGAATATTAAATTTAGTGGATTTTTATAGGTTTACTAATTATACAGGGTGTCCGGAAATTAATGCAACAAAATTTGGTCATAGATTCTTGAAAAAAATAGGTGACCCGTATTTTTTATTTTTGGCGAGTGGCCCCCCTTTTCGGATTTCCAGCCCCTGTATTTAGCCCCTAAAGAGAGTTTTTTTAGAAGATCTCAGGGCCCTGTTGGACGAAAATCACTAAATTTGGTACACGTTGTTTTACTATAAAATGACATTTTTTGATGCTATTAACTTTTTTTTATTTTCATCAGTGTATTTTCTACGGTATTTAAACTTAATATTATTGAAGAAAAAAATGGTACGCCACTGGTTTTGTTTAAAACTATAAAGAAAAAGGTTTCTTAGAAAGCAGTATCTTATTACTGACAATGCGTATTATTGTGATTTCCATTACATAGTTTTAGTATTCTTCTAGATTATATTTGATTCTTCGAGGTGGCTATCGGCCTGATCCACTGTGCCCTTCTCTATTGTGGCCTCTTCTGATTGTGGCCTTTAGGTTACATTCTCCAGTCCTATCTTTTTCAAAAGTCTGGCAACTTAGAGACTGAACCCTCCATATAGCTCCCTGTCAATGACCTATCATTGCCTATTACCGAGAACCGTACATTTGCCAGGCTGTCGCGCCGACATAAAATGTGTTCTGTCGTTTCTTCTTCAGATTTAGATACCTATTCAGCTTACAACTCCCTGTTAGTAGACCCACTAGAGCTTTAACTGTCTTCCTGTCTTTGCTTATCAGGTCTGCTGTGAGTTTTGGCAAAAGTCCTATTATGAACTTTTTCGCCTGTCTCTGCTCTGATTAATTACTACCATTTAATAAATTTGTTGGCCACCCATCTTTTAGTGACTGCTTTTGCAGAAGGGTTCTAGGCAGGTCTATAAATGGTATTGATGAGCCTTGTTGGCCATTGATCTGCCTTATCGTTACCGTTGTGATCTTCATGCTCTGGTATCCAGGCTAACGTAATTTTTAGTATTCTTACTATAATAGTACTGAAATTTTTTCAGCATATATATTGATTGATAAAATAAACAATCCTTCAATTAAAATTAACATACAAATAAAATGTACTAATGCAAAAAATGTTGATTAAAATTATTCTCGTTCTTTAAAATCATCTGAAAGAAGCCATTTTTAAATATCATTTATGCCAGCAAACATTAAGACGATAAAATGAACATTTTATCAGCAACTTTACTATCTTACATTGCCTATTTTAAAAGTAAAAAAACAATTTTCTATTTGAAGGATTATAAAGATTTCGTCGACGCCGAAAATCTGATGCCCCTCGCCACCAGCGACTTCAGAAAGCCCGTGTGTCTTGAAATGAAACATCTAGCAGCGGAAGGGGCTATGGAAAGGGCGCAACACATCTTGATACCTATTGGGAACTTCTCGGAGGTGGATATGGTACCTACCAAGAAAACAAACGGAGGCGACTTAGCCAGTATGGATAGTTCTGATACGTTTGCCAGTTGTGCTACGCATCCTTTTACATCTCAAGTAAGTATGAGAAAATTTCACTCTTAAAGAGTTTTCCAGACGACTAACATGTTTAGTTATCACTAAATTATCCAGGTAGAAATAATAAGGCGACAAAGAAAATATTGTTCGGTGGCTATCTTCACAAATAGCTAAGCAGCGCTAAAGGCACTCCGTTCCAGGGAAGTCAAGACTAATGTGGGATTGTGTGTATGTTCCAAATACATTGGGTGAGCGTAGCGATGTTACGTTAGCCTACTATATACTATGGTATATAGTACTATATACTATGGTATATAGTTACGTTAGCCTACTATATACTATGGTATGAGGGTCACAAGGGTAACGAAAAACAGTAGAAAGTAGATGAAATGGACAAACAATGCCACTCATAGGGCCAGAAACTTTCTGCGGCGATGCAAAATCAGTCACGATAATGGCTACAGAACGGTGGGTGGCCAACAAATTGCTAGAATGATGGAGAAATTTACCAGGGCAAAGAAAGGCAAAAAATCGTTCATCATAGAACAATTGTCAAAATTTACGGTAGACCTGATAAGCAAAGACCAGCAACGCCGTAGTGGCCAATACTACAACCAATATGGCATTGTAAGCTGAATAGGCATCTAAAGCTAATGGGATTGATGGACGAAGCCTGCACATAATTAATGCAGTTTAAAATAATCTGAAGAAGAAACGATAAAACACATTTAATGTCGGTATAACAGCTTGGCAAATGTGTTCACTGTACTAGGCACTAGGCTATGTAGGGTTCAGTGTCCAAGTTTCTAGACTTTTTGAAAAGGACAGGACTGGAAATTTAATTTAACCTAAGAATCAGAAGAGGGTCACAATAGATCTCAAAAGATTGCACTGGATGAAGCCAATAGCCACCTGGAAGAATCTTATCAAATCTATGTATCTCTGAAGTAAAATCTTATCCATGGTAACATATAAAAATTGTTACGTTAAAAACGTTAAAATAATATTTAGAACCTCGCAATTAGTGGAATAAATTAATGGTTTCAATAATTACACTTTATACTATTTAGTTTACGATCATTAACAATGTCTAAAAACACAATTGATTTTAATAGAATATTCTAGCAACAACTTGCAGTAATCAGTTGTATCCATAGAGAAAGTCTAATATTTAGCTTATAAAACAATAAATTTTTGGTTTCTAACCACATTTTCTCTTGACGGATGATAATCAAAGGCCAAAATGACATTCCTTGCAAAATTTGAAGTATAATTAGTGGAAAAGTCAAACGTTTATTAACTTTTTCATTAATTTAAAATTCCTACTACAAATTTTGACGTTCTGAATGCTTACATTCAAATTATAAGAACAAACTTCTACGCTAATTGAAACCACTAATTTATTCTACTAAGTGCGAGGTACTGAAAGAAGGTTTAGGACTTTATTTACTGTCAAAGCCAAAGCAACACAAACTCACTTTAGTTGTTTTTTTTATACCTAAATATATGTAAAAACATAATTTAAAAAATCCGGATTATCCGAGCCGCCAATTATCCGGGCTAGGGTACAATCCACATTAGTTCAAATAACAGCTAATGCTGCAGTTAAATAACAACCCATCTCTTGTTTCAGGTGTTTTAGCAAAAAATTAAATTATTTCTTCTTTGTGTTACTCTAGGGTGATCTGGCGTCAGACATCTTAGAGCCTACGTCGATAGTTTTTGACAGTAATCTCTACGTGAACCCCTTGGACAAATCGACGGACAATAGTCCCACGGCACAACCACCACCTGTACCACCTCCTCCACAAAGGATGCCTACTGTGAAGAAATCGGCCAGTGGTGATACTGCTTTGAGGAGTTTAGGGGCTTCCCCGGATGACGAACAAGGTAGTTTTGGAGCGTTCGGCCAAATTATAGACAGAGGCAGTAGAGTGAGCTTGAACGATTCGCCGGGTCCTAAGCATCGCAAAACGAGATTTCAGGTACTAATATATCGACTGAATGTATCACTGTTCTAATTCATTCAGATGCAAAAAAAAACGCAACGGAGAAATTTTTGGTCGAATTTAAAGTGTTATATTTTTGTTATTTTTAGCCCTATTTTGCATTCTGCACTAAATTCAAATTTTATGTCAGCACTGACTAGGGTTTCTTCTCGCGAATTCTCGAGGCGAGAATGAATGATTACTTTGTTCTATTAAAATAAATATGTATGTTTATTATCTTAAATTATTATTAATATTTAAATTAAGTTTAATAATGATGTTCGTTTTTAGTCTAGCAGGCCAAGAACGAGATTTGGCGAAGCACAAAAACAAGATTCCCAAGAAAGTTTGGATAAACGCAAGAAAATTTCTTTAATACCGTCGAGAGGTTTGGCTTCAGCTACGCGGATACTAAATCAGCATTTATTTGGTTATAATTTGGGAGGATCCAGAGCAGGTATAGTACTTTTATATTTTTTTAGTATCTGGGACGAAAATACGCCATATTTATGTAAATATTCGTTTTTCATGTTGAACACTACAGTAGTAGTACCGAGAAATAGTAATTTCTACATTACCAAATATGTAAATTTTACAATCCACAATGTCAAAATTTCGATTTTTTTCTATCGATAATTTGATTAGCATCGGTTATCAATTACTAATACTAAAATCCTTTAACAATGCTGCGAACAATAATCACCCCGTAGAATATCTTTGTATATAAAAATAAAAAGCGAACTTTTAATAAAAAAATAACAAAAAAGCAGAGTAACTATTTCATTTTATAGAACTTCCGTTAGAACTTTGAAGCCAGCTGGGTCCTATTAGATCCGCATCTTGAATTTTCAACCACGAAATATTTCAGCTTCAGCAAAAAATCATGAAAGTTTAGTAACTTTTTTTTAGTACTACATACTAGTTTAGTTGGTCAATATCATCGAAATAAATTTTCTTTACTTTATTGCTAAATATTCGGATAAACCTTAAATTCATATAAAATTGGTTGTTTAGTTAGTTATTGCGGTGATATTGATTTTTTATATTTTATATTTTAAATTATAGTAATTTTTATTGCGATATTCAGAGCGGCAAGTTCAAAGAAAACTTTGTCTTTTACTATTATCATTTTTTTTACAAATGACCTTAATCAAAAAAAGAAGTCTTTTTTTGATTTAGGTCATTTGATTTTAAGTAATTTTTGGAAAGCTGCAATGAAGCTTTCGATGATTTGTGATTTTTTATTCCGAAATAGAAAAAGAATTATGTCATTAAAAAAAGGCTTAAATCTTTCAAGACTCAAGTCTTTTTAGAAAAGACTTAAGTCATTAAAAAGATTTAAGTCTTTTTATAGAAGACCGATTTTTATGTTATATTTTTATGCTAAGTTTTTAACAGCAACATTTCTTTTTAAATTGTTAAGCTTCATTCAGAACCTCGCAATTAGTGGAATAAATTAGTGGTTTCAATTAGCGTAGAAATTTGTTACTCTAATTTGAATGTAAGCACTCAGAACGTTAAAATTAGTGGTAGGAATTTTCAGTTAGTGGAAAAAGTTAACAAAGTTTTAAGTTTTTTACTAATTATACTTACTACTACAAATTATACTAAAATTTCAAAGAATGTAATTTTCGTCTTTGATTATATCATCCGTTAAGAGAAAATGTGGTTAGAAATCAAAAGTTTATTATTTTATAAGCTAAATATTAGGATTTCTCTATGGATACAACTGATTACCGTGAGCTGTTACTAGGATATTATATTAATTTTAATTGTGTTTTTTAAATATTGCGAATGATCGTAAACTAAAAAGTATAAAGTGTAATTGAAACCACTAATTTATTCTATTAATTGCGAGGTTCTGAATGAAGCTTTAGACAGCAGTCAGGCAGTAGATAAACAGTCAATACCACTAGCAAATAAAAAGTTAGTTTTTCTGAACCGATTTTGATTATTTGTCATGTTACGCGTTTAAAATCAAAGAAGCGATTGCCATACACCACTAACATCTACAGTTGCATGAGCAATACATTTACTTTTTTAAAATTGTATTAAAAAGGCCTCTTTTATTTTTCTTTTAGAGGTTATCGCCTCTTTCATTATAAGTTTTGCGTTGTTAAAAGCTATTCTGTGCCCTGTGTACCATAAATGCTGACAAATCTTAGATTTGTGAAAGTCGCCCTTTCTTAAATACGTATATTGTTCGAGACTTATTTATATTGAATAATAATAATATTTTAACGTTCTTAACTCCAACTGGCTATAAGCACCATTAAAAAATAAAGAAGTGTACGGGCCAAGTAAATGACGTTTAGGGTCTGACCTCGACAAAATTATCATCGACTGTCATTCCCATGCCGTTTTTGATGCTGCTTTTTTTTCGATTGCATTTTATTTCGAGATCTACATGTGTTAAACAGAAATAGAAATAACCATAATAGGGTGTAAGCATAAAAACAATTTCTAGATTTAAAGAAAATAGCCACAAACTGTTATATCATTCTGATAAGTGGTTATTCTAGGGTTATTCTCAAGAACAGTTAACCTAATAGGACTGCTCATTCAGCCAAAAGTGTCCGCCAGGTGCATGCGAAAACTACTCGCTTTGTGACGTCATTGTAGCCCTTGTCATGGTTATTAGTCCTTATCCGGCAACCAATAATACACACACGTGCATTATTGGTTACCGAATGCAAAACGTTCATTATTTAGTTTACTTATTTAAACACCTTATATGTATGCAGTATAGAAAATTCTAAAAACTCTATAAATCGTATTAAATACTCGGATAATGCATTTTTAAGAACAGCAGTTCCCAGCATCACCTTTTGCAAGCATCCTTTTTAGAGTACTTCCATAATTTGCTTTAAAATAATTAATAAACAAAATCGTGGGCACTTAGTATGCACTTTGTCACAATCCACAACACAAAATGAACGTATTTATACACTCTATAGCTCTAAAAACTTTAAAGACACCTTTTTCACATTTAAAATTGACAAAATAATTAACTCAACATTTCTCAGCTGTTATTTTTATAAGTTTACCATAGGCAACTAATAATACACACTATCATGACAAGGCCACGGAGGCTTTGACAAGGGCTACAATCACGTCACAACTGTCAGCTGAAGCGCGGGAAGAGGCGAACGTACGTCTTATGAGGATGAGCAATCCTATTAAGGGGTTTTCGGAAATAAAATCCTAGATTAGGTAGTTTACTAATCAGCTGTTCCAAGATCAGTGCTGAGAGTAATCAGCTGGTAGTTTAATTACGAACGGTTGGATCATTAGATTTACCGGGTTAACAATCACATTTAAATATATTTCGTAAAAAGAGATAAATTAAACAAATAATCCTAATATCCCTCTTTAACGATTGTATAAGATCTATTTTTATCCTATTTGTTTTGCTTTAAGTATACTTTTTAGTTTCTGTAAGACTATTTTTTATAAAAACAAAATGTGTTTTATTTTAGGCTTTTTTAAAATTATGCCATTTAAAACAAAAACACTATAAACTTTATTTTAATCATTTATTTACTGCCAACATAATAAACATTCCATCATATTAATAATAAAAAAATATATCAATTTTTATCTACCAATTGTGATGAAAATTTTCAGAATTGTCTATCAAGTTCCATTCTTTCATTATGCCTGGCTATTTTAATCTAAATGTTTTAAACCACTTTTCTGTAGTTGAGTTTTCATTTTTTTCCTATTGGGTGTCTCCGATAGTGCTTTTTCGCAGTCAGTATCTTTAGAATTACTTGTTGGTTTTTTATTTATTTAAAATCTAGAGTTACTTGATGCTATGCTGATTGGCTCATTTTTACGGTCACTAACAAAATAGCATGTATTTGATCAACATTAGATAAAGTGATTTCGGACAAAACGGTTATTAAAAAACTTTATACTTCTATGCGGACTGTTACGTTTCAAATTATCCTAGAAATGATCAGCTGATTAATTCTACCCACCTCATTAGGAGGGTTAGTAGGATCACAACATATGGCAAAAATCGAGTTATTCGGATCACTTTCCGAACGCATTGACTCGTTTTGAGATCACTTTTCGAACGTCTGGATTAGTAATCCTATCAATCCGATCAATCAGATCACAATTTCCGAAAAGCCCTTTAGTTTACCGTTCTTGGGTTATTCTGTTTCATGGACATAGTAAAATTTAATGTTGTTTCATTATAGGGAAAAATGGTGGTAGTAAGTCGTCTTTATCTGTGGATTCAATGGATAGCAGAGGCACAACATCACCTCAGTTAGAACATCATCGTAAATCAAAATCCATCTTGAAAAAGGCAGATAGTGGTGGAAGCGGACGTGGAAGAGAAATAGATCCTGAGAGTGAGAGACTTATATCTGATAATGGATCAGGTAAGTAACTATATATTCAAATTTTTAAAACAATATTTATATTGATCGATGTATGTATATCCGATTTTACAGCGTCCTTCGTCGCCCTCCGGTCTCCATGCGCCACCTCCGTCTATTGTCCTAATCTCCTGGTAGTAGGTTCCTTTCCGACATGGCTCTGTCGATTCCTTGATTCCAGGAGAGTTTAGGTCGGCCTCGTTTACGTCTGTCTGTAGGGGTCCAATGCAACACTTGCTTTGGTTGTTCTATCGTCAGCCATTCGTTGTACATGGCCGTACCAATGCAGTTGTTTTTCTTGTATATGTTGTACAATGTTACCCTCCACCTTCATTTTTTCACGTATTCTCTCGTTCCTAATTCTGTCTAAACGAGATATTCGGGCTGATCTTCGCCCGAATCAAATCCAATGATCCAAAATCAGAAGTCCATTTCGGTCGACAACAACTTCTTTTTATATTTTTCGCTTAACTGCCATACCTCAGAGCCATATTACGCTTTTCAGAATCGCGTTATAAATCAGTTTGGTTTGGTTTGGTAATTTGATCGATGTAACATGTGTTTTTTAATAACACTGTAGAAATGTATATATTTTTATAAAATGCTTTCAATTAACCTGCATAATATGCCTCCATAATTTCATTTCAATATAAACTACCGCTCTCCTTGGCGCCACTCTGTATAACAAATCTAAAAATTTTATTTTAATATTAGGCGTGTTTGATATGGGACCCGATTATTCACCATCACCTCCTCCAAGTCGCCTTAGTCTTAGAACCAGAAGCTCAAAATCTCAATCAACAGCATATCAACAGGAACTGGAGAGAAATCGGACGCTGAAATCCCAGTTGTTTTTACTAGATGACATAATGAATAAAGATGGAGAGAATATTAGGAAAGGTATTCCGTCGGCGGAAGTTAATCAGGTAAATAAAAATGGACCGACTTGAAAACTAAAACCTATTAATTTGATTTTCAATATTCAATTTTTCCTTACATAGGTATATTTTATTCCTTTGGGACACTCTGTACCGAGGGGTGTTTCACTTGGGTAAAAAATGTATAGGGTGGGTCAAATTCGACGCTTTTAAATGGAAACACCCTTTTCTATAGGAAATAGACAAAAACTAATGTCGGTGTTTGGACCTCAATTTTTGTCAAAAATATGATGGTCAAAACCGCATATCGATATCTAATAGGTTGTGGTTTTTTAAAATTGATAATTTAAGAATTATCAACAGAAAATTTGATTTCTTTTATGAGGCACCCTGTTTATTTTTAATTTATTGGAAATAATTTAAAATTACCTTTCCAAAAAAATAACACACTTGATATTTTGCTCGATTCCTCTTCGAGATATAGAGTATATAAAAATTCGCCCGCTTTAAATAAGAAGTAGGCTTTGAACGGTACCGGCTGTAATGCAAAAAAATTCTAGCTGTGAGAATCAATTAAAACGAAAATAATATTTGCTATGATAGATGCAGAATTTTATAACAATTTAAAATATATTTAACCAACATCGACACATTTAAACTATATCTAATAACAATAAAAATAAATAGCAAACCAAGACATGAGATTTTGCTACAGGTGTTCGACATATCGACCGTCTTCTGTTATGGACAGACGGGGCCGTTTTTGAACATTTCTCGCGGAATTCATTAACTCAATTCACTACAACTCTCATAACTGCTAAGTATTTCTAATTCTTGTCTAGATTATACGGAAGAATAAGGAACCTTTATTCTTCTGCAAATATATCCATAGGATTAGATCCATGGGCACTAAGTTAGGCGGCCTCGACGGCCAACGGCTGGGATCTTGGTTAGCAATTCAATTATTCTTGAAATTGGCTGCAAAAATTTGCTGATAACTTCAGCGTCCTGAGGCGGTGCGTCGTCTTGCTGGAAAAATATGTTTTCGAGTTCCATTAAGGGCATATCATCAATAAGGGGTCCAAAGCCTACTAGTTAAAAGTGGCGAACTTTTAAATATTCTGTATTTCGAAGGGGATTATAACAAAATATCAAGTGTGCTATATTTTTGGAAAGGTAATTTTAAATTATTTTCAGTTAATTAAAAATATAGAGGGTGTCCCAAATAAAAAATCAATTTTTCTGTTGACAACTCTTAAATTATTAATTTTAAAAAAATTATACTTAAACCATTAAATTCTACGTAAAAAGGTGCTTTGGAAATGTTTTCATAGAAATCCAAAATTTTCCATAGCAAAAAAGTTACAGCGATTTGTTAAAAATGTACATTTTTGAAAAACACCCCGTAACTCCGAAACGGTAACAGATATTGATGTGCGGGTTTCACCATCATGTTTTTGATGAAAATTGAGCTCCAGACACCGATATTGGTTTTCGTCTATCTGCTATAGAAAAAGGTGTTTCCATTTAAAAGCGTCGAATGTGACCCATCCTGTACATGGACTGCCAAGTGACTGCCAATGACTGCGAAGAAGACTGCCTATGTATGCCATATAATTATAGTCGACTGATGCCCTACCTGCCAACGACTGCCGAGAAAATGTATATGTAATTTCAACAATGAGACACCCCTTGCTCTGTACCTTTTGAAAATAATTTTAAATTGTAGCTTTAGCAGACTTCCAACGATCACATGACTCGTAATTTCTAAAAATCCAGTTATTTGGCTACACTACTCCGTGTCGAATAGCGTGAAAAACCTTGTGTATAAACTTCATTGTTTAGGTACCATTGTATATTTGTCCTCCACCACCTCCGATGGACGAAGCCAATTATTCCCCAACAGAAGAGACGCAATTACTCTCCGGACTGGGATCTTTCGGTGCCACCTCTACACCTCCAGTATCTTGCCGACATCCCAACTCCATATCAAAAGGGCACACGCATCCGTCCGCGTAGCATACGAAGGTAATCACGTTGTTTCGAATTCAATTATTCCTTAATTTAAACACATGACAAAATATATTTTTTCCATAGCAAATGTTAAAATTGCCTTATGTCTATCAAAAACAGTAGATAAAATAGTACTTTAACCGCAAGGGTAGATTAAATGATACTTTAACAGCGAGGATGGGTTAAAAACTATATTTCTTTTCCCATGTTTTTAAATTGCTTTCATTTTTGAAAATTTTTGTATTCCTTTTCATAAGTTATCCGGGATTTAAATGGAAGTAGTTCGGATATGGCGTTTGTCGCCTCAGCCTGAATATCTGTTGCTAATTTACTTATTTCGTTTTGAGCCATTTCTGGCTCCAATTCAATCAGCAATCGACACAAAAGAGAATTAAAAAATATTGATTCAAAACCATGCCTAGGAAACTCTTATGGAAGTGACAGGTTGTAGCTGATAGTCCATTACTAGACGCACGAGGGGGCGCAATTAGCAACAAAATTTTAAAAAATTTAAATTTTTACCTGTTTTTATCTGGTTTTTACCGTCAAATGTAAAATTCGACAGTTTTTTGTGTTTTTGTTATATCCCCTGTGTTTTATCTGTGTTTTTGTTATATCCCCTCTGTCCCCTGTGTCTGTCGACAGTTTTTTGTGTTTTTGTTATATTCCCTCTGTCATTTAAACTTAAATCCATTTATTCGAGTAAAAAACAAAACAATGGGTGTTTATATATGAAAACCAACTGTCATGTTCTAACAGCAGGATGACGGGACGTCGTTGCAGCCACCCTAAATTGTTTTTTTTCTTGAATCAATTTACTTGAATAAATGAAAAAATCTGAAAAAAAATAGAAGCCATCCATTTTAAATTTGTTTTATTTCGTTACTAGACCCACGAGATGGTGCCACAGCTAGGTCCGGACAAAATGTATTGAGTTTCCTATCTATTTTATATTATAGTATCTTATCTATGCTCAAAACTGACCACTAAAGAGACAGCTTTATTTATTTGTCAAATTACATAGAAACCAACGCCAATCCAGCACAATATTTTTTCTACTCGTAATAAATTCTTTGAAATAATAATTTCTGAATATTTTTTAAAATGTAATTCGCCATGGAAAAAAATATTTTTTATACACGACGATAAAATTGCATTATCGTCTCTCGAAATTAAGAATCTTTTCGGTCGACGGTAAAATACCATTTTATCGTCTTGTATAAAAAATGACTATAACTAATTTATTCTACGAATAAAATTATAATAAACTACTTAATTATATTACAACTATAACACTAAACAAAACAATTCAGTTAAAATTCATAATTTACAAAATTACGATATCCATTTATTCATGAAAACTTTGAGGTCAAATCAAGAATTTAAAGTTATTACACAAAATAAAATAAATACAAGACACTTGCACAGATATTTATGGTCCTATTTTTGATCGGTTATTTTGTTATCTTTTAGATGTCCATTTATTAAAAATTGTCGATCGATAAAATATTATCGATATTATCGAATTAATTAAATATTTACCAATAACTTTGTTAATTTGTTCCAGATTACGGCTTATTTTCTAATATAGCCTCAAGATCAATGCAGTTTTGTTTGACAGACCTTCTGATATGGACGCTTTTTCAGAATCGAGCATCATAAGTTCAAGTTTCAATCAAACCAAAAAATCATTGTGACATACCTATGCAGGTATTATACTGTTATCAATAAGTGCTTTCAGGAAAAGGGAAATAATTTTATTCCAAATCTAAGCCGCGCCGAGTCAAAAATGTATTATATATAATTATTATCATGTCGTTAGGTTTATGATTCATTTTTATTTTATAAAAGCAGATTACGTTTCAAAAATGTGTACTTTAGTAAGTAAAACTGGATTATTTTCAGGTATATAATGTTAAAATAGATCACAAATTTTAAAGGGCATATAACCTGTTTATTTGTTTGTTTCTAACTACAATTGACCAATCAATATAACATTATTTTGCTTATTAACTTTCTTGATGAAGGTGTAAAAGTTGAAAATCAGTGATTGTTAACAATTACTAGTAATAATTCACATTCACTGATTTGCTAAGACCACGTAAAAGTTTAATAAATATTTTTGAAACCAACTTACAAGTGAATGTTAGCATTATACATTAGCAACGTTATGGATACTTATTTTGTTATCGTCGTAAAAAGTATTGTGCGGTATTTTCCCTAAATGCAAGAAATTTTCGGTGAAAAATTAAAGCAAAATAATCTCTAGTAAAAATATAATAGTGCTGGTTTTTAATTTTTGCAATATAGTGAAATAGAGCAAAAGTTTGGTTTGGTTTGGTTTGGTTGCAAGTTAAGCATGCCAGAGAATAATTAAGAAACCTACTGACTATAAACTTATTAAGCGTTTTGATGTGCTAGAAGAGGCGAATTTGAAGAAACTAACAGCTCCCGTTGAAGAAAATTCGGGCATCCTTTATTTTGTCCACGATCAAAAACTTTATAAAATATTAAATAATGTTCATAACTCTATTGGTCATGATGGCCGGGCTCGAATGATGAAGAAATTTAAATGAAAATATGTTACATTCGACACACTTTTTGGAGCACCCTGTACAATTAAAAATAATTTTAAATTGTGAACTTTAGCACCCTCTGAAACTTTTTGATTTATTATATTTTTGTAATTCTAAAAACAAATGACAATGAACATTAATCTATCGCTGATTCCCCTATACAATAGAATAACTTTTACTGGCAAGCTTTTGTAAATGTTACTTTCACTAGTGAATGTTACAAATTACTAAAGAGCAAAAGTCGACAAATTTCTTTAAAATACGACATTCACTTGTCCAATGCGTAATTGTTCCCTAATTTCCTCGTGAATGTTAACAATAACTGCATTGCTGACTTTCACTCTACCATATATATGCCAATTGATATATGTATTGAGATATGTATTGTGATTTTGGTTAACATTGTATAAGCAAATGTCTTTCTAGGAAAATGTCAAACCAAAAAAAAATGTTAACCGACTTAATTTTTTTAAATATCTTTTGTGTATCTATTTTATATTTTAAATTAACATTTTTTAATAAATTTCAGTTGCTTTTGTTTTTCGATTCTATATTACTTAAGTTGCTTTTGTTTTTCGGTTCTATATTACTTAAATTTCTGTAATAATTTAATAAATACAAAATGTGCCCATAGAAATGTGAAATAACCAATTTAATTTTTATATAACAAAATCAAAAGAAAAATAATCTTATATAAAGTTAAAAATATTTTTTTATTACATTGAGAATTGGAATCTTATGTGATAAATTAATTATATACCTGAAAAAATCTGTAAAATCAAAATTAATGGTGAATATGAATATACAAAATGATATAGTACTATATACAGATGAAATAGAAATTCGTAACTTGCTTTAGACAAATCTGCTTTGGAAAATTGATTAAACGCAAATTAATGAACATGATAAGTTGCTTTTACGAATAAGTGCGAAAGCAAATAAGGCAAGTGATAACGTTCTAGTCTTTTAAACAAACATTTCTGTTGTTAGCGTTAAATTTAGTAACGTACGCGGGAGATAACTTTGTGAAGTGATCTTCGGCGAGACAGAGCTGTGAGTGACTTTAAAAAGGTTGTGTTAAAATTTCAATCGAATCGTTTACATGATAGTCAATGAATACAGCAATACGAATTATTGAATTATTCTACACTATGTTCGGTTACGTTGAATTCCAATCTATTTGTGTGAAAGAGAATCATGCATAAGCATTTGTTATTTGAATCTATTTCCTTTAATATTCTCGAAATTAATTGGTTTTAAATAAGTATTATTAACATTGTTTAAAATTAAGGTATTGTAGGAGGAAATCTGAAAATTATCTTGGCCATAAAACATGTAACACATTTTTTAACATTTTATTTACGTTGATCCTTCTCAATTATTTATTATAGAGTATGTCACCAGATTGTCTTTACAAGAGGAAAAACTTTTTTATTATTAACATTTTGAGAAAAATGAATTCTTCATTAAAATTTTTGCTTGTCCTAAAATGGTTAATCCCGTTTATACTTTTCCAAATTTCCATACCGTATTAGAGAAAGTTAAAAACACATGAATTTTTGAAGTCCTAAAAATCAAAACCCGTTTCTATAGCAAATTTGCATTTTTATTTCACAGTTTGCGTGGATTTAGCCTAAAGCGCCAAGTTGGAATCACCCTGTACATTTAGTACTGCGATAAAAATGTTAGTAATTTAAATAGTTTAAATTTAATATTATTGGTATAAACCTAAATATTTAAAATTGAAGGAAATAGGTTCCATAAGTACAAGAGATATATTTAATTGAAAGAAAATATGAGTTACTATAATATCTAAATTACTACAAAATGACTGGTCAACCTTATTTTAATCTGTGATTATATTAATTTTAAGGAGGATAAAATTCGAATCAAATGAACTTTTTTACTTAATATAGTCTCTGTTCTTTATTTAGCGTATCTACTTTAAATATTAATATATTTCTATGATTTAGTATGCTTTAATTCAATATGATATTTAAAACTGTTCAAAATAAAATTATTTCAATAGAGCCCTTTTCAATAGAGCCATAGATTTTACTTAATTTGAAAATGTATATTAAAACTGGCAAATAGTACACATTGCAATGTTAATCGCAAGGTATAATGTAATATCTTAATTAAAAATTAATAAACAATATTATTATTCAAAATATATATAATATGCATTTTATTCAGAACCTCGAAATTAGTGGTCTGTATTACTAGTTTCAATTCAGAACGTCAACATTAATGGTAGTAATTTTCAATTAGTAAAAAAAGTTATAAAACCTTTACTTTTTGTCATTAATTATTCTTCACAATTAGCGAGTAATGCCATTTTTCCTTTCGATTTTAAGCCGCCAAGAGAAATTGTTTTTAGAAATGAAAAGTTTATTGTTTTATAAGTTAATTATTATTTTTTTGGTGGATATAACTGAATACCGCAAGCTGTTGCTAGAATATTCTACTAATTTAAATTGTAGTTTTTAAGACATTGTGAATAAGCGTAAATTCCTAAGTATAAAGTATAATTGAAACCATTAATTTAGTTCGTAATTTTGTGGTTCTCAAAAGTCTTTATTCAGAACCTCAAATTTAGTGGAATAAATTAGTGGCTTTAATTAATTATAAGTTATACTTAAGAGTTTACAATCATTCCCAATTTCTAAAAAATACAATTAACATTAATAGAATATCCTAGCAACAGCTTGCGGTGTAGTCAGTTGTATTGATATTAACTTTTAAGTTTTTTATTTCTAACCACAATTTTTCTTGGCGAATGATAATCAAAGGCTAAAATGACATTGCTCGCAAGTTTTGAAATATGATTAGTGGAAAATGTTAAAATTTAACTTTTCCTATTAATTGGAAACTACTATCACTAATTTTGACGTTCTGAATGCTAACATTGAAATTAGAGGAAGAACTTTCCAAGCTAATTGAAACCACTAATTTATTCCACTAATCTCGAGGTTTTTGAAGTTTGAAAATTACTACCACTAATTTTGACGTTCTCATTGCTTACATTGAAATTAAAGGAAGAAATTTCTGAGCTAAAATTGAAACCACTAATTATTCTACTAATTTCGAAGTTCTGAATGAAGCTTGGTAAAATTTGAATCCTTCAGTCTTATCAACTTATCAGATTTACAATTGGAATCATGTTTAGGAAATGTTATATGAACAGTATGGAAAAAGAATGTCCAGCGAAAAAAATACGATGATTGTACAAGCCGATTTTAATTAATTTAAGAAAAACTGCATCTATTTTTAAACTAAAACTGAACACTGAACAGATAACAATGCCAAACCAGTCAAATGTGGTCAACCTGCGATATTATTATTGATAAATATAATTTGTTGGGCTGTCTATACTACTACGTTATACTATACTACTACGTTATAGCTTATAGTACATACGTTTAATATCTCCGAAATGTATTTTTGTAATTTAAAATTGGCTCGAATGAGACAAAAGCCTAACGCATGCCTAACGTTTAGAAAATACCATTTGACACTGGAAAAATTACAGGATGACAACTTAATGCACGTTGGCATTTGCCTGATTTTGCATTGTTATACCTGTACAGGGTGTCCCATTTTAGTTGAAAACATACGGTATCTTCGTTATTAGTAAAGATAGGAGGATGCGGTTTGCTCCCACTTTTTTTTTCAAACGGAAGATGCGTTTCTGAGCTACAGGGTCTCGAAAATTTTGCAATTTGGGACAGCCCCCGTATTTTCGTTATTATGGATGATTTCGAGAAGGTGAAAACTGATTCTTGTAGATATCACTCTATATTTATTTTCACCATTTACTGCAATATTTACAGTATATCATTTTCTTATTAGTAGGCCATGATAACAAAAAATCAAAATGGTATTTACTAAAATACGCATACAAATATCAAAATTTTATTTGGAATTGATATATTTTACTTTTGAACTGTTACCCCTGAATCTCCGAATATATTTTTCTTTTTTTATAATGGAATTTATTATAACGGGATGGGTTTGCAAATATTTAAAAGCTTGCATTATTAAAGCATTTTCCAGGTTAGACATTGTATTAGTTGCCACGATATAGTTCATCTTTCAAAACCCCAAAATCAGAAATCGAGAACGGGCAAATCCGGGGATAAGATAGATAGATAATTTAACAAAATTCTAATATTTTCGTTGTAAGTTAAGTTGTGAAGGGAGCCTCATCTTGCTGAAAGTATATGTCCCGATACAATAGCTTCTAAGATTTACGAACAGCAGCGGTAGAGAGTTAAGTTTCCCTAATATATAAAGAATTTATTAGTGACTCTCAAAATAAAACAAGAGACAGAGAGCAGTATACTTTTAATAATTCTTCAGTTTCATTTACTATCAATCATGGCCTACTAATAAATTTGATCTTTTAATATGTTAAATTTTACTTTAAATATTGCACTAAATAGGGAAAATAAATATAGAGTGACATATATTTTTGAGAAGCTTATGGCAAGCCAGATCATATACCTAATTTATAAATATAGAGGGTGTTCCATTTAAGAAAACATAATTTTAGCATTTATATCTTTAAAAATATTATTTTCGTAGAATAACAATCTACGCCACTGTATTCTACGGAAAAGTTCTACAATAAACAGTTTTCACCTTCTCGATACCTTTAACAATAACAGGGATACAGGGGGTGTCCCAATTTGCAAAATTTTCTAAAAGACCCTGTAGCTCAGAAACGAAGAAGGCTATGAAAATTTTGTTAACGCATCTTTCGTTTGACAAAAAAGTGGCACAGGTTTGTGCAAACCGCACCCCTTCTATCTTCACGAATAACGAAGATACCGTATGATTTCAACTAAAATGGTTTGACACCCTGTACAGTTTTAATTTAAAAATAGATGATTTTTTTTAAATTACTTAAGATCGGCTTGTCTAAAATTGTTCAAATTTGGTATTTCAGAATAGGCAGATCTTTAAAGAGCCTATTTGCGATTTAGTTGTAAATTTAATAGGGGAACCAATATTTGGACAGTTCAAAATTTGCATGGGATTTCATATGTTTCCAACAACGATGGTGGTGCATACGGTATAAATATTTGAACAGTGTTAAAATAAAATTAATTTCAAGCAGGATACAATTTATATTTAATTTTTTTATTATTTAAAATTCACACTAATTATTTCTGAGAAAAAAATATTTTAATTCTTAAAATCTTAAATCACGAAAATCAATCAAGATATTTTTAAATTATACAAACTTGTTAAAATATAACGTTATATAAATTTTTGCAAATACATAAACATGTCTAGATAAAGTCGGTGTGATAGAAATTACAGGATGGTCAAAGAATTTTGTGAATTTTACTGTGTATATCGACGTTGAAATTTGTAAATAATTATTATTTTACGAACTAATCATTCTGCGAACATTATTTTATTCTTGGCCTATTGAATTATTTCAA